AGCGAAATTCTACATTTGCTCTATCTTTATGATATTGAGCACTCTTTGCGTTTCGTATGCACAAACCTACTCGTATATATATATATATATATATATATTTTTTTACCTGTTGAAATAACCTTGAACAACTATTGCTTGTTTGCCAATACTGAACAACGTTGCTGGAACAATAATGAACAATTCTGCTAATTCACGGCAATGTTGTTCAACCGTGATAGTTGTATTGTTGCAGTATTGCTCAGCCAACAATATTGCAACAACCTGCTGTGTTATTGGCTGTGTAACGTGAACAAGCTGTCACACTTGTGATGTCGTAGTCACCCCGCTTTCAAGCTGAGAGACTGGGTTCAATCCTTGGTCGGCCCTCTACTCAAGATCTTAAAATAATTGAGGAGAAAAAGCTACTTCACATTGATATCAGTAAATGGTTAGATTTTCGCGTCTTCTTGGATAAGGACGTTAAATGGTAGGTACCTAGGTTCCTTATCAAATTGGCTGGTGGGAAATCTGCTCACTGATGAGTGACAAACTCAATAAACTAAATAAACAATAAACTGGACAAGCTCTCACCTTACTGGTTTTTTGTAGAAGTTTTCCCCAAGGTCCAATATCTGCGTACATTGACAATCTTCCTTATTGCATGTTGCACCCACATCTGAACACACTGTCAACTTATCCTTATCCTTTGGTTCTGTCTGTAGTGAAACACTAGGCACTAAAAAATTCCGTCCGTTCACCGTGCTGGTGACTTCAGTACTATCAAAACCAAAATTAAAGAAGAAAGTCGCGTCCTTCGCTGGCCATTCTGAACTAAACCTCGGCAGTTCGTTTTCAGGCGTTGGTATTAACAGTCGAAACTGATCAACATTGACACATTTATAGCCAGGCTCCGCCCAATTCTTGAACGGACAGTTGACGACAGTACATGGGTTTTGGCTGGTGCAATTCGGTTTAGAAAAGCCATTATTATAGGCAGCTTCAATGACAGACATATTCACAGAGTTCCCGTAAGTTAGTGCAGCAATTGCATCGTTTTTTTCTAATTTTCCGTCCACTTTCAAACTGCTACAGTTCACCTCCAGTGTTTCTGCTCTGATGAGAAAATCAGTTTCTGTAATCTGGTTTGCGTCTAGCAAGAAATCATAGCGTTCCCCAGTGTTTACTATCAAAAAATCTGCAGAAATTGGTTCGATAAAAAACCCGTCCGTCGCAATAACACGCAATTTATGACTTCCGATATAAAATTTATATGCATAGTTCGCCTGAGCTCCAATTAATCGAAAACGGTACGTCGAACGACGTTGAACGGAAAATGCGCTCAGTCTAGAATTCTTGAAAGCTACATTGTCATGTCTGCCCAGACCGTTGATAAGTCCAGACCAGTAGGGGATTGGGCCGACCTCTGCTCCATCGAGTGAGCATGTTGATGTGTACCTGAAAAATATCAAAACGTGTATTAAGCAAGTAGTTTTGAACTTTTGCGTCATAGGAAGATAGGTTAGGTCTATCTAATAAATGTATAAAATTCACACTCGGAATTTTCATCTACAAAAACCTTTGTACCTTGTATTACGTCGTTTTGGTACTTCGTCGACGGCTGTGTCCTCGTAATAACCCAGTGAGGAATGAATCTGAACAAACAGATCCAAAGATGACTCTCTCTCCCAGTCCAGTAACGAAAGAGTGTGTCGTTCTGGTAGATCTTGAAACCAACCGTATCTCGAGGATGACATATAGCTGAAGATGTTCTTTTCTTTAACTATGAGTGCACTAAACAATCCATCAGTTCTCTGCGGGCCACTATGAGAGTGATACCAGAACGTCCCGGAGGGTGTTGCTTCAAAAATATAGCGGAAACTTGAGCCAGCTTCTATTGGACATTGTGTGATATACCCCACCCCATCCATCCAGGGCGTGTTTCTCTGGTGCATACCATGCCAGTGGACCGAGGTCTCTTCTGTGAACATATAGTTTGTGACGTCAACAACCACCGTCGCTCCTTCTGGCACTATTAAAGTAGGTCCAGGTATTCTCTTATTCACGCTGATAAACGATCTGTAGCTTTGACCATCCACGGTGTTAGCCTGCGTACAGGTGGATACGTCGTTACAAGGCGAAGTCTGCCGGTTCTCCATGGTGGGTTCCAGTCCTCCAGTATCGTTAATGAAGAATACTCGTCCTCGAGTACCTATTGGCGCGTCCTTGGAGTAAGCTGTAAATGTCTTCCAAGATAAAAATGTCAAATTTAGGTTAAAGGCCAGCCATTATAAATCCATTGTTACAACAGGAGGAAACCTAAACAAAGCATGATTACTCATATTTATATGCCGCGCTTTGCCTGGAAGCGTGGCATATAAATATGAGTAATCATGCTTTGAATAGGGATGACAGTGCCTATTTGCCAGAGGAATATATGCATCTCATTGGCAGTTGACGTCATCCCTTGGGTATTTAAGAAGCCACGATTGCAATTTTAGATCACCCCTGATGAAGTCACTAGACTGGAGTGTCGAAATGTTGGATCTTGATCAAGGGTGGGTTGTAGCGAAGTAGTTGTAGTTCGCTACTGTAGCGAACTACAATTTTCAAGTAGCCAGTAGTTTTTGACTACTTTTTAAAACAGTAGTTGTAGTTATAGCGAACTACATTTTGCCTAAAAGTAGCCAAGTAGTCAACTACTTTTCAAACAGCGAATCGCTATTCGCTACTTTTTAAAATTGTTAGCAACCTGATAGAATAGCGCCATGATATTGAAACACAGTTTGCTTAAAATCAATACTCAATAGTCAAACTGTAGTGCTTACAAAAGTGTTGCTTTGTGTTTACTGTTGGCTGTTGCTACTCGTAAGTCGATTTGTTATAGATTACATTACAGCCTGAGTTAGTAGATGCTCCAAATATAGTAAA